AGTAGTCATATATGGATGTGAGAACTGGACCATAATGAAAACTGAGCACTGAAGAATTGATGCTTTTGAATTGTGGTGTTGGAGAAGACTCTTGAGAGTCCCTCAGACTGCAAGGAGATCCAACCAATCCATCCTAAAAGAAATCAGCTCTGAATATTCACTGGAAGGACTGATGCTGAAGTTGCAATACTTTGACCACCTGATGCCAAGAAGTGACTCATTGGAAAAGACCATGATGCTGGGCAATATTGAAGGCAGGAGAAGAGGACAGCAGAGGATGAGATGGTTGGCATCACTGACTCGATGAACATGAAGTCGAGCGGACTCCAGGAGTTGGTGATGGACAGGGAAGCCTGGCATGCTGCAGTCCATGAGGTTGCAAAGAGTTGGACTCGACTGAGCAACTGAACTGAACTGAACTTGCATGAAATATTCCCTTGGTATCTCTAATTTTCTTGAAGAGATCTCTAGTCTTTCCCATTTTGTTTTCCTCTATTTCTTTTAATTGATCACTAGGAAGGCTTTCTTATTTCTCTTTTCCATTTTTTGGAACTCTGCATTCAGATGGGTATCTTTCCTTTTCTTCTTTGTCTTTGGCTTCTCTTCTTTTCTCAGCTATTTGTAAGGCCTCCTCAGACAACCATTTTGCCATTTTGCATTTCTTTTTCTTGGGAATGGTCTTGTTCCTTGCCTTCTGTACAATGTCATGAACCTCTGTCTATAGTTCTTCAGGCACTGTGTCTATCAGATCTAATCTGTTGAATCTATTTGTCACTTCCACTGTAAAATTGTAAGGGATTTGATTTAGGTCATACCTGAATGGTCTAATGGTTTTCCCTACTTTCTTCAATTTAAGTCTGAATTTAGCAATAAGTAGCTCATGATCTGAGCCACTGTCAGCTCCCAGTCTTGTTTTTGCTGGCTGTATAGAGCTTCTCCCTCTTCAGCTGCAAAGGATAGAATCAATCTGATTTTGGTATTGACCATCTGTTAATGTCCATGTGTAGAGTCATCTCTTGTGTTGTTGGAAGAGAGTGTTTTCTGTGACCAACGCATTCTCTTGGCAAAACTCTGTTAGCCTTTTCCTTGCTTCATTTTGTACTCCAAGGCCAAATTGCCTGTAACTCCAGGTATCTCTTGACTTCCTACTTTTGCATTCCAGTCCCCTATGATGAAAAGGGCATCTTTTTTTGGTGTAAGTTCTAGAAGGTCTTGTAGGTCATCATAGAGACATCGTAGAGAATTTTTAAAGGCCCTATTTAATCATTGCCAATATCATTTTTTAAGGAGATCATTTTAATGGGATACCCTTCTCATGATCGTATTAATTGCTTATCATGAACCAGTGGCTGTATGTTCATAAACAGCTTTCAAAACGTCTCCAAACTGTCCCTGTCAAGACACTTGGTTGTTCTTGTCCCAGTAGTTCCATTTCCAGAAATATTTAATATTTGGGCCCAAAACACAAACATAGCAAATTAACTTTAAACTTGAAAATTCAAAGTTGATTTCTTCCAGCAGGTCACTTGATTGATAAGTGAAATGTCGTGGTGGTTCTGAGGGGAAAACAAAAGATTAAGACCAAGAAGGAAGATCATTACAGTAAAACTGAAGGTCATTTTGCCAATTATTTTCAACAAACAAGATAATGGGCACCTGCAGATTATATTCTACGTTCTCAGTCTCTCATTTGGAGCAGGAAAATGGACAACGATGGGAAAGGAGTCGTTTGTGGAAGGCAAAGGAAGAACAGTAGGGGCTTCTGCGTGATGAGGCTGGTTTCAGAGGCCTGGGAGGAAATGATACTGATGTCAGAACCAGCGGGGAACATTCTGAATGTTTTGGCTCTCAGAAAGAAACTTTAGAACTGAGCAATAAAGAAAGAAAAATTCTTTTCAGAGATGACATAAATGACATGGTAGTTAACTTCAGAAATGTCTGAAAAGTAATATGAAGAATATCAAAGATACATAAGTAAAAATGGGGTCATCTTAGGCTGATGACCTGTTTCTGGTATTTGCACTCTGATTTGGTAGGAAATGCTGCAATGAGTTTTTGCTGTAAAAAAAAAAAAATTAAGTTCTTTAACTTTTATTTTCATTCCAACTGAAAAATAAAAGTGTCCTTCTACATGTTCCTAACTCCTTGAAATGACCTTACGTGAGAAGCATCCCTCTGTGACAGGAAACTGAATGACCACACTTCTGTTTTTACAGATACACTCAGCACTCTTAATGCACGTTAGCTGCTACAAGCCCAGGAGAGGCTTTAGAATCGGATTTGTCCTTGAATTATGTCCTGGGGCTCAGTAAAAGCTGTAAATTACTAGCAGATGTCATAGACACAACAAAACCAGTGCAGCCCAGGGTAAGAAAGCACGGTACCCACAGTTGCATTCGCCCCGTGTGAACAGCTGGCGGGCTCAGATTCTCTCATGTTGGTCTTCCCTCACCACGCAGAAGGGTTTCTCAGCCTCCAGGCCGTCCATGTCAGACGGTCTGCTCCTGGATCACATCCAGAGGTCACTGCTCCTTCCTCTGGGAGATTCTGATCGCCTCTCTGGAGCATGTCTGTCCCACCGTTTCCCAGCTCACCAGTTGGAGGAAGACATGGCAGCCCACTCCAGTATTCTTGCCTGGAGAATCCCCATGGACAGAGAAGCCTGGCAGACTATAGTCCATGGGGTTGCAAAGAGTCAGACATGACTGAGTGACTAAGCACAGTCTGATAATCAGACTTCTTTGAAGATGGGGTCTGCAAAAGTGCCTTTGGGATAATACTTAAGCGTATTGCCTTCTTGTGTGCACATGGGCCCTGAATCTTCTTGTTTGAATAATGTTTTTGAAAGTGGTTTGGACCAGCCCAAACCATAAGACTTGAATGTATCCACAGGTACTGAGCTTATCTGTCTTCCAGCATATGCTTTTTGGGGCATTTCCTACCATTTTGGTGAGGCTTTTCTAGTAGAAATTTTCTAGGGATCCAAGATGGCCCCTGTGGTCAAGCAGTTTGAATGGGAACAGGTTAGCTGTGTCCATTATATACTTCCAAACAAAACAGAGCCTGATCCCTCCAGGGGAATACATTTGTCTTGTGGGCTAGGAATAAGCCCAGATCTTCATTCTAAGATGGACTACCCACTGATATACCACAGAATGGATGAACCACCTTTTCTGCTTGGCCTCTCTGCTCATTTTAGCCACAAACATTCCCAGCACTCCATATCACCAGAATCCCCACAAATCAAAATGGGCCAGGTATTCACTATTTATCGGAAGAGAGCAGATACCAGCTACAAGTTTAGAAAAGGGCTACAGTGAGATGCCCAAATAAGCCAAAGTGCTTAGGACTTCCCTATTCCCTGCATGATCTCAGAAGTCCCTGTCAGATCTAAGACTGTATGACTTTTGGGTTCCAGTTGAGAAGAAGATAGCAGAAATAGGTTGCAAAGATGAATAGGCAACTGTCAATAACTACACATTGTGCAAACTGAATGGATACAACCAATGCAATAAATATGTTGAACACTTACTATGAGTCACCTCTGGTTTAGGTGCTGGAGATAGAATAGCACCCACCCTCACGGAGCCTTCATTCTAGTGGGCTGAAGGGATGTGAGAGCTCCCAGGACCCACGTAACCCCCACAGCCCTCACTGCTCCTTCTTGGAACCTCTGTGCCCTTTATTCTCCTGAAGCAGAGGGATACAGCCTGAGAAACACACTCACCAGACAGTAACCTTCATAAGCAAACCCAAATTGACTCTAGTTTTCTCTTCCTTGCCCTCTTGTTTGATAGCTGCATTTTAAACCACTTTCATGTCTGCCTAATTCTTTATTCCAGCACTATGTTCATGTCAAGTCAAAATGGAACTAGAACATGCATGTGGGATTGTCTGAAACTGGATCCCAATTATTTATCGTCACCTTCCTTAGTTTTTTATTTAGTTGGTAGGACTATTTATACATTTTTGGATGTATCAGCTTATCACTGATACTCTACTTGGCCTTATTTATAAAAACTATAGGGAAAAAACACATTTTATTCCCTATTTTTTGACATTTTCATCTTAGTCATTCTAAGTGGCAAAAGAATAACATCAATCATAGCAAGCCGTTGCTGAGTTCCTACTGTGTATTAAATGTGGGTCAAAAGCATTTGACCTCATGATCCCTCATCAGAACTTAGGAAACCTTTTGAGGCATGTCCTATAACATGTCCTTTTACAACCCTGAGAGGTTACATGGTTTGTAGAAAATATTTTTCAAAGGGTATCTCAAGGGGATTCTGATATTGTTGTATGTTGCATTACAGTTTCAAACCTCAGTTTTCTTATTACAACTTTTGAGTAGTTTGAGTTAAAATGAGAAATAATATCACACAGGATCAGAACCAGAGTTCGATTTGGCCGTCGTTCTGCCTCAGACCATTGCTATTTTCACAAAATAAGAGTATTTCCTTATGCTGTCACTCAAAGGTTCGGAATGTGGTTTCTCCATCAAGTGAATTAGATACTTCTTTGCGTGTGCAAAGCAATATCTGGATCTTATGTAGGTAAAGCACAGATAGCACTTACCACATATATTTTAAGATATCTGTGTACATTTTTACCATCCCTCTAAGAGATGTGCTCCATGCAATCTTAGACCATGCCTTTCTTAATCTCTGAAGCCCAATGCTGTACACGCATTGGCATACAATGGCATACAATGAATGTTAGTTGAATCTACAAACTTTAGAAAATGCCCTAAGTACTCTAACTTCCTTTAGTAACTAATTATGAATCCATTTACTCACTGAAATGATCTTTGAAGCTTTTTTCCAGCTTGTATCACCTCTTAACAAGTAGTAGAAATTTCCTATCTATTGGGTAAAGTTGTGCTTTCTTTTATTTTTTGTCAAAATATTTCCTTCAAATTTCCTAGAGTTATAATAACAGCATTTAAAAGCAGTGTCTTCCCTTCATAATATTGTTTTTTAATTATTCTTTCATGTTTTTAGGAAGGCGATGTCTGGCCCAATTCATCAGCTGAAATCACTGTGTACTTTAATCCCCGGGAAGCCAAGCTCTACCAGCAGACCGTCTACTGTGACATTTCAGGTAAAGACTTCCTTCATGTGGTAAATTCAGGTTACCAAGTGGTCAGAGCATAAAGTGATAAAGTGCTGTGTGTGTGAGAATATTGGGGTTTATGTGCAGTTCATGATATCAGGAGGAGAATAATAGAGGCAAGTTATGCACTTCATACATCTTTCTAGAACAGATCAAACTTTGAAGTACCTTATAATTGTGGTGTCCTGGGTGGGGATGGAAAACCACGGATCTAGGTTACCCCTTTATTTTTAGAGCAGTAAGAATATTAGTTGGAATTCTCTTGCTTTTTCTATGATCCAAGCAAGAGAATTCCAACTAATATTCTTATTGCTCTATAAATCAAGGAATAATTTGGATCATAGAAAAAGCAAGAGAATTCCAGGAAAACATCTATTTCTGCTTCACTGTGGTAAAGCCTTTGACTGTGTGGATCACAACAAACTGGAAAATTCTTCAAGAGATGGGAATACCAGAACACCTTACTTGCCTCCTGAGAAATCTGTATGCAGGTCAAGAAACAGCAGTTAGAACCGGACATGGAACAGCGGATTGGTCCAAATTGGGAAAGGAGTACGCCAAGGCTGTATATTGTCACTTTGCTTATTTAACTTATATGCAGAGTACGTCATGTGATATGCCAGACTGGATGAAGCGCAAGCTGGAATCAAGATTGCCAGGAGAATATCAGTAACCTCAGATATGCAGATGACACCACCCTTATGGCAGAAAGCGAAGAGGAACTAAAGAGCCTCTTGATGAAAGTGAAAGAGGAAAGTGAAAAAGCTGGCTTAAAACTCAACATTCAGAAAACTAAGATCATGGCATCTGGTCCTATCACTTCATGGCAAATAGATGGGGGAACAGTGGAAACAGTGAGAGACTTTATTTTTTGGGGCTCCAAAAATCACTGCAGATGGTGATTGCAGCCATGAAATTAAAAGATGCTTCCTCATTGGAAGAAAAGTTATGACCAACCTAGACAGCATATTAAAAAGCGGAGACATTTATTTGCCAACAAAGGTCCATCTAGTCAAATCTATGGTTTTTCCAGTAGTCATGTATGGATTTGAGAGTTGGACCATAAAGAAAGCTGAGCACTGAAGAGCTGATGGTTTTGAACTGTGGTGTTGGAGAACTCTTGAGAATCCCTTGGACTGCAAGGAGATCAAACCAGTCAACCCTAAAGGAAATCAGTCCTGAATATTCATTGGAAGGACTGATGCTGAGACTGAAGCTCCGATACTTTGGCCACCTGATGCAAAGAACTGACTCATCTGAAGAGACCCTGATGCTGGGAAAGATTGAGGACAGGAAGAGAAGGGGATGACAGAGGGTGAGATGGTTGGATGGCATCACCAACTTGTTGGACCTGAGTTTGAGCAAGCTCCGGGAATTGGTGATGGATAGGGAAGCCTGTCTACTTGGTTGCAAAGAGTCGGACATGACAGAGTGAGTGATCTTAACTGAACCGACGAATATTAGTAGTAACAGTAGTATTTGCTCAATAGTAATAGTATTAGTTGCTCAATCATATCTGACTCTTTGTGACCCCATGAACTGTAGCCCTCCAGGCTCCTCTCTGCATGGGATTCTCCAGGCAAGAATGCTGGGATGGATTGCTGTTCCCTTCTCCAGAAGATCTGCTTGACCCAGGGATTGAACCCATCCTGCATTGCAGGCAGAATCTTTACTATCTGAGCTACAGGGAAGTCCCAGAGTAAGACTATTACTTGACACAAATTCCACAATGTTATGGTTTATTCTTTTTATAGTATTTGGATAGTTAGTTTTTTTCCCTTTTAAGTTTTTATCAGAATAATGCATGCCAAGTGAGATGGGAAGGCAGCCTGGCAGAGGCCAGAGGCACAGAGGGTGTGCTGGTAGGGTGGCGACCTGATGGCTTCAGGAGACTGGATACATACAGAGGAATTAAGCAAAAAGTAAGTATATCGAGGGTAACAGGAGCTAGTCATTTTCACTCAGAGGAGGGAAATAGAGATATGGGAAGGAGGAAGCCTAAGATGAGCCCTTTGGTATTGGAATGGAGTGGTAGATGTCATCTTAGTTAATACCAGCAGTAATAGAGCAAATCAACCTCATATGGCACCTGCTAGGATGCAGTAGAAGCATAGCATCTCTTCAATGATATTAAATACTTACGTGGGTCTAATCACAAGGAAGCCTCAGACTAACCCAAGTTGAAGGACAAAACATGATGACATCTGGGTGTAACATGTGAGCCTGGATTGGATCCTTTGCCTACAAAGGAGATTATTGAGAGCAAAGGAATATATAGAAGTTCTTTGTACTACTAAGGAGAGTTTTATGTATTTTAAAAGTGTTTCAGAATTTTTTTTTAAAAAAGCTGATATCAATAAATAAGTAAAAATACATTTAATAAGATTATAAAGCTAAATAATAGTCTTATTTCTTCAGTACTGCTTTCCAAGAAGTACTTTTAGCTGTTTCTTGCTTATATGGCTATTTGCTGATTTATCAACTTCACATACTACTTTTGAGTCCTCAATATAAAAAATGAGGATTTAGTTCACTTCTTTCTTCTCTACCCCTTCCTGGACTTAATAGATTATAATTTACATGCAGTAAAATTCACTCTTTTTGGATATACAGTTCTGTGAACTTTGTCAGATGTAAACAGTGATGTAGCCACCACCATAAGCAAGCGTAGAATATCTCCACGACCCAGTAAAATTTCCTCATGCCCCACTTTGCAGACAATTCTATCCCCCCACCTTAATCCCTGGTAACCCAATTATTTTTTATTATATTTGTTTTATTTTATGAGATTTATTTATAGTCTTAAATAGCCTTTACTTATATATTTAAAACTATAAATTTGTGTCCATCAACTCTACAATATCCTTGGATGAGTTGTCTGCCCACTGCAGTTCTCCCTTTTCTGTGAGTTGTTCTAGTTTTGTGTTGTCATTGTTGATAACCACATTCAAGTCTTCTGTTTTGTCTATATAAATTTTATACACTGGAGGGCCAAACTGTACTCTGGGATTATATTTTATCCTCTATTGGTTGAGTGTTCTGACCTTAAGTCGCTCAAAGAATGTCCCTAAGGTCTGAATCTTGTAGATTCTCCTTTTTTTTTTTTTTCATTTATTTTTATTAGTTGGAGGCTAATTACTTTACAATATTGTAGTGGTTTTTGCCATACATTGACATGAATCAGCCATGGATTTACATGTGTTTCCCATCCTGATCCCCCCTCCTGCCTCCCTCCCCATCCCATCCCTCTGGGTCTTCCCAGTGCACCAGCCCTGAGCACTTGTCTCATGCATCCAACCTGGACTGGCGACCTGTTTCACCCTTGATAGTATACTTGTTTCAGTGCTATTCTCTCAGAACATCCCACCCTCGCCTTCTCCCACAGAGTCCCGAAGTCTGTTCTGTACATATGTCTCTTTTTCTGTTTTGCATATAGGGTTATCGTTACCATCGTTTTAATTTCCATATATATGCGTTAGTATACTGTATTGATCTTTACCTTTCTGGCTTACTTCACTCTGTATGATCGGCTCCAGTTTCATCCATCTCATTAGAACTGATTCAAATGAACTCTTTTTAATGGCTGAGTAATATTCCATAGTTTATATGTACCATAGCTTCCTTATCCATTTGTCTGCTGATGGGCATCTAGGTTGCTTCCATGTCCTGGCTATTATAAACAGTGCTGCCATGAACATTGGGGTGCATGTGTCTCTTTCAGATCTGGTTTCCTCGGTGTGTATGCCCAGGAGTGGGATTGCTGGGTCATATGGCAGTTCTATTTCCAGTTTTTTAAGGAACCTCCACACTGTTCTCCATAGTGGCTGTGCTAGTTTGCATTCCCACCAACAGTGTAAGAGGGTTCCCTTTTCTCCACACCCTCTCCAGCATTTATTGCTTGTAGACTTTCGGATAGCAGCCATTCTGACTGGTGTGTAATGTAGATTATCTTTCTTGACTGTCCACCATCTTCTCACAACTATACCTCATTTTAACTCACTTCATAATTGACTTGACTCTTCCATATAGTTTTTGGTATTCTTCCCCCTGTGGTTTCTAATTCCTCATTTTTAAAAATTTGTATCTAAATATAGCGTTCATGCTCTTCTTCTCCTTGAAGATATTTCCTCAGAGCCCATCAGCTTTCTATTCTAATTTAGATCATTTACTTCCTGCACAGTTTTTTTCCAGGAGTTTTTTTTTTTTTAATTTCCATGTGCATTCCATTGTATCTTTTGTCTCTCATTTTACTCAGGTAATTTCCTCAGAAGGGGTATCTAGATGGGAAACTTTGATCCTTGCATGCAAGAAAATCTTATTCTCCCTTCGTACCCACTTGATGGGCTTTACAGGTGGCGCTACAGATAAATAACCTGCCTGCCAGTGCAGGAGAATTAAGAAACACGGGTTTGAGCCCTGGGTCAGGAAGATCCCCTGGAGGAGGGTGGCAAACCACTCCAGTATTCTTGCCTGGAGAATTCTATGGACAGAGGAACCTGGCAGGCTATGGTCCATAGAGTTGCAAAGAGTCAGACACGACTGTAGCGGCTTAGCATGCATGCATGCACCCACTTGATAGTTCAGCTGACTTTAGAATTCTAGGTTCAAAATAATTTCTCCTCAGAACTTTGAGACCTTGTGCCAAATTTATTATAAAAATTCAGAAGCTTTAAGTCACTCAATTTTCATTCTTTTACAGGTGGCCTGGTATTTCTCTCTCATATTTTCTAGGGTTTTCTTTTTGTATTTGGGTTCTGAAATGTTCTGAAGGTATATCCAAGAGTGAGTTTTTCTAGTTCATTCTCCTCAGCTTTCTATGGGCCAAATCTGATTACTCGTATATTACTTCAGTTCTGGGAAATTTTTTTTTAAACATACTTTCCTCCTTCTTTTTCATTTTATTCTTTTGGGGATTTTAATGTTCTAAAGTTAAACATACAGAATTGATCATCTTTTGTTAAAGAATAAGATTTCAGTCCTCAAACATG